ATGAACAAAAATGAACCAAAGCTTCGATTACTGAAAAATGGCGGATACATCTGGCTTTTTTGAGGGTGCAGGAAGGTCGTCGAAATACGTTTTAAAAGATTGGAACATTCGAATGATTTTCCCCAATGCTTCTCTCATGCCAATGATTTCGTATTCGTTTTCAGAAATTTCGCAGATTGACTTTAATGCTTCTGTGAATGGTGTGGATATAAAAATGTGTGTAGATCTGAACAACAATGCTCTCTATTTCGACATCAAGTGCATTACATGCGTTACGAAGCGCATCATTTACGATATGCGCTGCACAACCCACACCAACTATGTTCGATTTTAATTTTCTTTAATTTTGCAAAAACATTTCCTTCACTTTTCCAATCAACGCAACCGAAATTAATTGGCGCGTTGTCAACAGTAAGCGATTATCAATCAAATCAAAATTTATTTTAACATTCACTCCAGATAATGTAGGAAAATAACGAATGACGACAGGAAATATTTTGATTGCTTTGTGATTGGAAGCGTCGACAAACAAATGAATTGGGCTTTCTGTAAATTCGACTTGAGGCATTCCAATGCGTATGATGCAAAACATTGGTTATTATCGCTTCCTTTTGTTCTTGAACACGAACCTTTTTCATTTGGAAACAGGTTCGAAATATTTTCGTAACAAACCTGAAACTGTGATTCTCATCAATTGGTTTCTATCCGATAAAAATCTGATGTGATTGAAATTTACAGAGAAGCATTTGCTGCCACTATAAAATAATATATATAAATGATCAGCGTGATGAGCTGTGTCGATTTGGTTATGGCCATCAGTATGTCTGTATATACACGAACTGGTCTCTCAGTTTTTATACTCTCGCAACCTGTTGCTACAGAGTATAATAGTTTTGTTCACCTAACGGTTGTTTGTATCACCTAAATTAATCGAGTTAGATATAGGGTTATATATATATAAATGGTCAGGATGAAGAGACGAGTTGAAATCCAGGTGACTGTCTGTCCGTCCGTCCGTCTGTCCGTCCGTCCGTCTGTCCGTCCGTCCGTGCAAGCTCTAACTTGAGTAAAAATTGAGATATCTTTATGAAACTTGGTAGACATGTTTCATGGTACCGTGAGACGGTTGGTATTGCAGATGGGCGTAATCGGACCACTGCCACGCCCACAAACGCCATTAATCAAAACAAATAACTTGCCATAACTAAGCTCCGCAATAAGATACAAGACTGTTATTTGGTACACAGGATCACATTAGGGAGGGGCATCTGCAGTTAAAATTTTTTTTAAAAAGTGGGCGTGGTCCCGCCTCTAATAAGTTTAATGTGCATATCTCCTAAACCGCTAATGCTATAATAACAAAATTCACTGGAAGCAAATGTTTTTAGCACTTCTATTGACGGTGTGAAAATTGTTGAAATCGGGTGGCAACTCCGCCCACTCCCCATATAACGGTACTGTTAAAAACTACTAAAAGCGCGATAAATCAAGCACTAAACACGCCAGAGACATTAAATTTTATCTCTGAGATGGTATAAGATGACTTTATAGGAACCGCGTTCAAAATTAGACAGTGGGCGTGGCACAGCCCACTTTTAGGTGAAAACCCATATCTTGAGATCTGCTCAACCGATTTCAACCAAATTCGGTGCATAACGTTCTTTATGTGTTTCTATGTCATAGTGCGAAAATGGGCGAAATCGGACTACAACCACGCTTACTTCCCATGTAACACCATTTTCAATTCCATCTGATTCTTTCACATTCCACTATGCAAATCAGGTAAAAATGATTATATCGGGGTAAAACTTTGCGTGAATAATGCAATTAAAGTATGCCACCTTGCGGCCAAAAATTGTCTAAATCGAACCAAAACTGTTCAAACCCCTAAGTACTAAATATGTGGACCCCAGTGCCTATAGTTGACCTTCTACCGAAAATATCAGTCAATCCACAAAGAAATCTCAAACGAGTATACCATTTGACCTTGCGAGAGTATAAAATGTTCGGTTACATCCGAACTTAGCCCTTCCTTACTTGTTCAGATATCGATTTGTACACATAGGTGCATAAAAACATCGGTGCTATAAAAATTTATTGTTAAAATCAATTTCTTGTATGGAAAACTTTTTAAATGTGAATATATCTTCACAAATTTAACACAGATTATTGTTTAGATCGGACTACGGAATGTCCGATGAATATCAAGTTCCTATATAAAAAACTTTTTATTTGGCAAGATACCAAGACAGGATAGACGAGGTTTTTTGACCAAATATTAAATGTTGTTACCAATATGTGAGAAAACTAATTCGATGAATTTTTGTTAAATTTTTGCTTACTTGCTTTTTTTGGTTGCGAGAACTTGACACTTTTAATTAGCTGTTTAATTTAAAGTTGCTGCAATTCCGCAATCCTGCAATCTTCAAAGACGTATGTGTTTTATTCTTTTGAAATTCCTTGAAACTTTTTCCTCCTCACTAAAGGCGCACTTTTTTGTAGAAACAGATGAAAAAGGGCTCGGAAATGAAAAATAAAACAGGAACAATAAAAAACGCAAGGCAAGGTCCTTTTTTAAATGCAGAAATCAAAAATGCAACACTGTTAAACTTACTGTTCAAAGTTCTTGTAAAATAAACCTGTCAAGCAGTTCAGACTATAAAATTCTCCCAAAAAATTAAACCAGTCGGAGCTTTGGTGGTACTCGTACGAGAACAAGCGTTCGCGTGATATACGCGTTATGGTAGAAGACCTCCATCACTCATGTGAGCCTAAAGCATTGTCACAGATCTTCAAAAATAAGGCTTTAAAGATACGAATGCTATGAACAAATTTCAGTATAAACAAAAAATTCCGTAGATATGTTTATTGTATGCTTTGAATCCACAGAAAATATCAAGAAAATTAAATTCAAAATTAAACGTATTTTAAATGTCGTCAAACTCAAGCAAATATAGCCATTGAAACTTGTACCGCTGTGCATATCCTGTCAGGCGTTCGGCCAAACTAGATCTATTGCTACAATCCATCAAGATGTGTGAAGTGTGGAGGAAACCATACAACTTTAAGCTGCACAAAATCGGAACTACAGCCTGAAGTGGCAACGCAACTTCAAAAAATTAAAAACGCGCCCATGAAAAATAAAGAGCCTTATTTGCTAAAACGCATAAGTACAAGTGTATCCACTGAAGGAAGGTACTAACACAAGCAAACAATCTGGAAAACTTTCATCTCATCTCTTAATAAGCTAGAAGAACAAAATCAACTTACACATAAATTTACTTCTTACTTAATTAGAGAGAAAGCAAAACTAGAATAGGGTACAAAAATGAAACCCATACAAATTAAGACTTGGAATGTTAATGGTTCACTGGCTTCCTCAAGCATAAAAACTAATTAAAAACATTTCTCCATCCTGAAAAAGTTGATATTTTTCTTAATTCAGAAACTCATTTTACAAATCAGACTTTCGTTATGTTCAAAAACTACAATACGCAATACGTGTTTGCTTTAATCATCCAAATAACAACGCGAGGAGTGACTCGGGTCTTGGAAAAATAAGTATACTGTACTATTCAGCCCACCTAGGCATAATATTAAAAACGATTTATATACAGCACTCATTGAAGTATGGTGGAGCTTTAACGCAAAACAGTGGCAGTGGGGTTTAAGGGTTACGACAACAGTCAATCGGATTTAAACTCGTTTCGTCACCTTTGATCATGCATACATATATAGCTCCATATCGATCTCGATTAGTTGAAGGTTTAATGAACAACCGTTAGGTGAACAAAAATATAATATTCTGTACCAACTTGTTGCAAGAGTATAAAAATATATAAGATGCGGAGTCACCTCATTCTTTAAGCACCATGTGAACTAAACCTACAACTCCTGTGACGTTTGTTCTTAGGGGTTGTTGAACTTTTAGTTGTTTTAAACACAATAGTTGCTTGAACTGTGGACGTGATTATTAATTAATTTCACACATTTTCACACCGAAGCATGAAATGATAGAAGCAAATAGTTGCACTAATTCAAGTTTTTGGAGCTTTAGCTCTTTGGGAGTAATATATAAATATACTTTATCTTTTACAGTGAAAGACAATGACCACTCATCAAAAATATTCTTCTTGCTATTGGCATCCAAAGGACATCTTCCCAAATTGACTGAACTTTGCTAACTTTTTCACTAAAAAACCATTTTAAGAAAAGAGCAATTATTGAATTTGAATCATAAACTGGAACTATAAACTGAATCCCAATATCTGCGTTTAACGCCAAATCCCGGGAGCTTTTAAAGCATTAATAAATGATAACTTAACTTATATACAATACGATTTTCGACACAATGCACATATACAAGATGCGTTCCAAAGTAAATAGTAAAAAAGTAAAAAAGTTAACTCTAGTTGCGTCATCTATATGCCGACTAGTGCGTTAGAATATGCTATCCTTTATCGATTTCCAGTAAAAATTTCATGACATTTCATCTATTGGAAGGGAAGTTACTGCGTTTTAAGTGTCATCCGAATATCGCGAAGATGGAAGTTGGCGTTTATTGAACGATAATGCTCCGTCTCATCGATCGACGCTTGTGGCCGATTATTTGACCAAAAATCACATTTTAACAATCAACCACTCCCCGTATTCACCTGATATGGCATCGTGCTACTTCTACCTTTTCGGAAAAATGCGTTTGCCGATGAAAGGAAAACGTTATGCAGACGTGGAGGCCATTCAAAAGGCTTGCACCGGCACACTGGCGGCCATACCGGGCAACGAGCTAAAACACTCGTTCGACATGCTTCTGGACCGTGCAAAAAGCTGTATTAAAGCAGAAGGAGACTATTTTGAATAAAATTAATTGATAATTATATAAACCAATTGTTCTGTTTTTTTTTTAAAAGTCCTGTTTACTTTGGAACTCTCCTTGTATGTAAGACAAATTGGTATGAATATTTATGTGCAGATGTATAAATAATAAAAGTATAATTTGCCTTAAATTCTGGTTCATCGAAGCAAGGAAAAAATCTTCTCGCATTATTGGGATGCAAATTAGTAGCAATATATTCAATCTGTTCGCTTTTGTTATCAGCGTGGTAGCTGCCATAAAATAATCCTTCAGCCTTCGTCCAAATATGACCTTCAAATTCCATATAGAGCTCACAATGTGTTCCCCGTTTTATGATACTATTTAAGTGAAGTGTATAAATAGATTTCTTGTACAACTTGCTAATACGTGCTACAGAACTATCTTCCATAATATTTTTGCTGTAAGTATTAAATTAAATAAATTTTCTTTTAATTAAATAATATTATAATACTAAAGGAGAGTGATAAATGTATTTATGTTGTATTTATCCATTACCTGTCATAGGGATAACATTTTCGTAAATCAAAAGAACGATCGCGGATTTGCAGATTGCGGTGTGAATGAAACGCAATCCTTTTTGTTTCATTTTCCCATTTTAACTTCATAGTCATGTTACCATAAAACATCTTCTTCTCATAGTTTATATAGAAGTTAATTATATACTCCTGTGGCATCACGTCTCTTGGCAATCGTTCGTCCATATTTGACGAATGTGCAGCAGTTAAATCAATGCTTCGTTTGGTAATAATCTAAAAATATGTATATGTATATAAAAATTAATTTGCTGAAATTCCTACATGTAAGATTTCAAATCGTACACCAAAAGATGCACGATTTCTAAACAAATATACTGAAAATGACAAGGAGTGCTTGAGTGTAAATCGAGATATCCTGAGGAAACTTGATATACGTGCTTAAAGTCCACATGAAAAAAAAAACAGCTTATTCCCAAGTTCACAAAAAACAATTAATCAACAAAATACAAAGTGTTATAAATCAGTTACCATTTAATCCATTAAATTTAAATTTAATTCAGGGAAAGGAATGTAGAGTTTTTTTAAATGTTCAATGTCCATATCTTATAAACTTCTAATGCTATATTAACCAAACTTAGAAGAAACACTATAAATAACTTAATAAATCTATAAAACAGATTTTTATGGTATGAAAATCTTTGTCTCGATTTTGATAGGGCAGGTATGTGCTACAGTGGTTCGATCTGAAGAACATGTTCGGAGATTATATCATTGATTTGCGCAATAATCAATAACAAATTTCATAAAAATGTATTGTTAAAATACAGTTATCCATGGGAGAACTTGAATTTCTGTCAGCATGTATGACAGCAATATTCTATAGTCGTCCGATATCGGTTCCGAAATATTAGCAGCTTCTGGAGAAGAAAGGACGTGTGCAAAATTTCAGATCTATATCTACCTCAGGTTGCCGTGGAACACGTGAACAAACTTTGTATTCACCAGTTTTGAATATTTGGCTTAGTTATAGCACTTTACAGTTGTTCGTTTAACTGCATTTTGTGGGCGTAGCCATGTTTTCTCAAGGTGAACACAAGTACCAAGTGTCATCAAAATTCTAAAATTTTATCCCAGCCCGAAATAAACAATTTTGTTATGGAAAGAAAAAGTTTTGGTAATTTTTTTAAGACTTAAGTGATATGAAACTGTTTAATTATATTTTCAAAAAAATGGTTGTCGTATACCATAAAGCAAAAGAAAAGAGAGCGATAAATTTGTTTCGGTATGGGTTAATCATTGCATACTCGTATGCTCCCGTGAGCTGTGTACCTATAACTTTTTCAAACAAGTAAGGAGGATAATTCGGGTGTAACCGAAAATTTCATACTCTTGCAATTTGCAAAGATCAAAGACTGGGTAAGTGGGAGAGTAAAACTGAAAATGTATACATTTCAAACCATTTCTGGCACTCAATTGGCTTTTGCAGCCTTAAAACCAATAAATAATTGGATCATAAATTAGCAATAATTCATTTAAAAACATATTTCTGTATATATGTGTTTGTGTGCAGATCTGATAATTTAATTGCTAAGTATTTGCATTTAATGTGGGATAATGGAAAATTTATGTACAAATATCATATAAAAAATTATGTTTATAATACCGTTAACTGCAGAAACATTACAATAAGACAATAAGAAAATGCTGGCGTTTATTCTCGAGGCAAAGTAAGTGCGAACCAGTTTCGGCATTTCTTGAGTAAAACACGAAGAAAAAGCAACAAACAGAAATCAATTTCCTTGTTGTTTGGGCGATTTATACTGCCGCATATGTATGTATGTATGTATCGACCTCTGTGCATGCTCGACACGATTGGTAAAGTGTACGAAAGCATAGTAAGAAACCGCTTGGAGTTAGCAATCCAAAAAGCCATCGGATTATCAGAGAGACAATACGGCTTAGTCGTTGATACGGCGAAGTCGTTGATATTGCGAAATGTGTAATAAGTGGCAAAAGATGGAAAGGTGGCACCAAAGAATATTGCACGCTAATTACCCTGGATGTGAAGAATGCATTCAATTCTGCGAAATGGGCAAATATCATCAAGGCCCTGTATGAAATACGCCCTCCCCAATAAGTTATAAATATTATTATGAGTTATTTTGACAACAGAAGGCTGCTTTTCGACACAGATGAGGGTACCAAGAGCCACTCTATCTCGAGTGGAGTACCACAAGGTTCGGTCTTAGGCCCCCTTCTTTGGAACCTGATGTACGACGGGGTACTAAGACTACATCAACAACAATCCGTGAAACTAATCGCCTATGCGGATGACCTCATAGTGGTAGCAGTAGCGAAAAATCTAGATGACCTCCGGGTCAAATGCAATGATTGCATAAATGGTATACGACGGTGGTTCGCAACCATGAGTCTAGAGTTGGCTGAGCAGAAAACAGAGGTCTTGTTCATTAGCTCCAGGAAAATTGAAGAAAAACTATCGCTCACCATGGGAGAATGTCAGATAACTTCACAGCCACAGCTAAAGTATCTTGGCGTTATATTGGACTCAAGGCTAAAATTTAAAGAGCACTTGGAAAACACGACGGGTGAAGCAAATAAAATATATAATTCGTTACCTAGAATGATGGCAAATAGAGGCTGTGTGTGTTCCAGCCGACGATTTTTAATAACTAAGGCAATGAGATCCGTTATACTGTATGCGACTCCAATATGGATCCAGGCGCTAGACACAAAATCATATGCTAAACCAATAATCACAGTGCATAGGCTTTCTGCAATACGCGTGATAAGTGCTTTCCGAACTGTATCAAGCGACGCTGCGGAAGTATTAGCCAGTATAGTGCCCATTGACATCCAGGGAAATGAATTCGCGCGCTTATACCAGCTATCGGAACCCTCTACAGCAACAAAAAGAGAGGAAAGAACCAAGAGCATTACGCTGTGGCAGCAACGGTGGCAAACCTCATCCAAAGAACGGTGGACTCACAGACTGATACCAGACATCAGACCGTGGATAGATAGACAGCATGGGGACCTGGATTTCCACCTGACCCAAATGATAAGTGGACATGGGTTCTTTAGAAGCTACCTTTACGAATTTCGTCATGACTTTCCGTACTGTCCGACGTGTACAGAGTGTATTGAAGACTCTGAACATGTTTTTTACCATTGCCCTCGGTGCTCAAGTATAAGAAATCTGAAAACCACACTTGGCGGTAGTTTCTCGGTGGAAAATTTGACAGCACTTATGTGTGAGTCCTCTATTAAATGGAAAGCAGTCAGCGATAATGACAAGATTGAGACACTTAGAATAGATTTGGAGTCAGTCAGTCCGTACCGTAGAGGAGACATAAATGTCTTCTTCTCTCCCATGAAGTAATACTTTGTCCAGTGATTCCGTGGGAGAAATTTGGGTTGGGAGTAGGTTAGGTTTAGCGGATTAAAGTTCCGCACCTCGGCTTTCGATGCTTCAACCTACTATAAAAAAAAAAAAAAATGTGCGAGTATAAACTAAACTGATTAAATATGTTTACTAGCGTTGATACCAGCTGTAAACTACAAATGCATAAGCATATCTTACATAGGAGTATAAGATATATAAGAAACAGCTGAGCTCAGGCGTGGTTACGTTCGCATCAGCATACGTTGTTTGTGGAAATCGCAAGCTAATTACATTTAGTTTCCTAAAGCTATCCAGATTATTCGACTATTAAAAATTACGTAGTTACGCACTTAATACTTTAAGCAAAATATGAGGTCTAGTGTAAAAAGAAACCGAATTTATTACTTTTGGTTACCAAATCACTTTATTTTTTGTAATACTATGTTCGCACCGACACAAAATTCGTGTTTTCATAGACAAAAGAACTGACATTTGGGGCTGACAAAATATGTCTTCTAATAATATCGATTAAACTAGAGCAGGCACCGATTATAATGAGTGGAATGTAAGTTTTCAAGGGGTTTTCAGCGAAAACTGTGTTTTCGTTTGACAGATTTTGTATGGATGAAAACACAAGTTTTCGCGTGAAAACCTCTTTTGTCTATGAAAACACGAACTTTGTGTCGGAGCAAACATAGTATTAGGCTTAATTTTATTGCTATATTTTAGTTCGCGTCAGCGAAAGTTATATAAAAAGCAACTTTAAATTAGATAAATGTGATATCAACTTAACCGAAGCGGCTATATTTAATATATTCATGTTAATTCATAAACGAACTCTATTCATACTCAGCCCTAAACCATTAACATTGTAAGAAATAAATATCCATCCACAAACGCACGAAGACGCACCCTGTTAAACAAATACAAAACAAAAAGAAGGAGAAACCAGACATGCAGATGAAAACACAGCAAGCATTCATACACAGCTATAAAACCAAACTACACGACAAGTATTGGGCTACAACGGGAAAAGCACGCCACTTCTACATGTTGCGAATGCGCGAGCAAGCAACACACGGCTTGTCGGAAAGTCAGCATACGGATCATAAAGCGGTCATAATAGCGAAATCGAGCGATGCCGGCTGTTATCAACGACGAGGTCGATGAGCTGCTATCGAAGAGATGCATCCCCGGAACGGTAAGTAAGCATCGAGAACAAGTTAACAGAGGCTCCTATCCTCGCATGTTCGGACTAAAGGCAGACATTTACCTTACATATGGAGGCTAGCAACGCCGGTCTTGGTGCAGTGCTGACACTGAAGCTGGAAGGAGGTGAACGCGTAATAGCGAACGACAGCAACAAATTGAAAAAGGGGAGACCAGCTATACGATCACCAAAAAGGAGTGCCTCGCCTTAGTCTTGGGGGATTCGGAAAATTAAACCCTACCTAGAGGGATATAGGTTCAAGGTTATAACCGATCATATGTCACTGAAGTTGCTCAATTCCATAGAAAGCTCTTCCGGTCGTTTAGCACGATGGAAACTCAACCTAGTAGCTGACGGACTGTCTTAACAGCCACTAGAGACATAGGACAAGCGACGACGATGTCGTCACAATGCAATTGGTGGCGAAAGCGAGTAGGGGAAGTACGCGCAAACCCGGAGAGGAACGCGGAGTACATGAAAAAGGATGGCTCGCTCTATTGTCACTTCCCATGTCAATCCCAGGATGAGTGCTGCAAGAGAACCACGATTTACTCAGCGCCGGACACATGGGTATACGCCGGACAATAGCCCATGTGCCCAATCGATATTACTGGCCAGGGATTTTCAGCGACATTAGCCGCTAAGTAAGCTAGCGAGAGT